GGGGTGCATCATAAGCCCGTTTGTAAAGTTTATAAGCCACGCGGGAAGTCCACAAAATAAATAAGCCACGTGGATCGGAGGGGGTTGAAGGCGGCAACGTTCACACATTCTGTTCTGAAATTGGGATTCTGACATTGCCGATTGAACGGCTAAGACTCGTCTTCAGGGAATTTACCAACAAGCCATGCGGCTCGTTCGACAACCATTTAAGCATTTGAAGTAATGATGGTAGTAAATAGAAGCCAAACCAAAGCCATCTTCCGACATTCGTGCGCAATTTCATTTTGCTGTCGTTTTATTATTATTATTATTATTATTATTATTATTATCATTACTATTATCATCATTATTAATCATTATCATTATCATTGTTATTGTTATTATTTACATAATTTTAATTATCATTCTTTCAGAAATTGCAAATGCTTTACTTATTTAAGGTTGAAACCAAGCCTCAAATAAGCAGTCTGAATACCTCTCCCCGCCTGCGCACACAATAAACATTTCCATACTCGACGGTTTACTAATTACCAATTGGTTTCACGACTCGGTTTCATAAATTCTATTTACCGCAAGATCACGGTGAGAAAAGAGGTAAAGCCTCAAAATTGTTAGCAAGCAACAATAAGTAATCCAATCATCAAAGCCTCGAGATGTCTTGCCGTAATTGTTCTTTTTCAAAGCTTTGATGTTTTTGGATTTTACCGATTGATGTTTTTTTTTTTGGATCTCGTGAAATTCCCTTCGAGTGGTTTATCAAATGGACACGAGATTATACTGATTCTGGTATGATTGTTAGGTAATAATAAAAATTTCTGATAAATGCTTGCGTAATCATGGAATCAAATTTGTGATCGAAAATAAGAATCTTAATAAAAAAACCCCAAAACCATGACTAATTTTGGATTAGAATTTAGAGTTTCTTCAATTTATCTCCAATTGCCATAAACAATCCTCCGAAGCATGAAATTTATAAATTAAGCAGGAGTAAACTTGTTTCGATCGCACAAGCTTGCTTCCTCTACTGAATAGCTCGCTTTGGTGCTTGTATTTTTTGAATAGTATTAATAAGTTAGTTCTTGTCATGTGATTAGGAGAGAATGATTTTGACGTTGTGACAATTAATTACCAAACATCTACGCTATCATTCGTTTGTGCAAGACTGACTTTATTTCAAAGATGCGCCCTGATTGTCAAATAAAAAGATTTTACCCCTATCCCCTTGGAAAGATAAAAATTTCAATAAGATGACAATAATAAGAATGATAAGATAAAGTAGGTACTGGATAAGAAATTTCACTCAATGGTACTATTTTTATCCTATGCGTGCGCCCTATTTAATTTATCCAAAATTTGAAATCAATACTCCGGACCATTCGTATTCTTCCGTCATCATCAGATGCAAATAAAATAATAATTTTTTAAAGAAGTAGAAACCATTAAAGTAGCATACAATATCATGCAAAGTGGATGAGCGGAGTGGCTAAAAAAAAAAAAAAAATTACTGAAAGAGGAGAAATGATGCCCTGTTGATTTCATAAAATTCATCTGCCCATATTTGTGTTTATAAAATACTCGCACAGCATTTACGGTATCCTGAGGTAGCTTTTAACCAAGTTTGCGTCTTTAGCGGCACATCACCGACTTCATAGTATCTTTTTCCTCTCCGAATCTTCTTTCTGCAAACATGGACGTACTCCATCAAAGTTGTAGAACATTAATTAATACGGAGAGCAGACGTGGGGCGAAGAGCCCATCGATTGTTAATAATTTTCCGATCTGACGAATGTTTTTGTCTTGACCCCCAAACTTTTAATGCATTCCTTCGGACCGACATGAGAAGTGAAGCTATACCAAATACAAGCAACGTTTCTCGTTTCGTTGAATTTGTGTATAATCTCTGACAATTCCTCGGTACCGCCCTGCATAAATCTCGTCTTATTTGTTAAGTGCTCAAAGGATCAGGTTAACAACCGGTTGCGCGATTGCCTTTTAAACATAATTCCTATTAAAAAACAATTGGCACAA